TTTTTTTTTTTTTTTTTTTTTTTTTTTTTTTTTTTTTTTTTTTTAGCTTCGCTAATCGTTAACGGATTTCAATGTTTTGAAAAATTAAAGAACTGGGTCTCGTAACACAAACGAATGTTATTGAAATCAAACAATTTTCAAACGGGCATAGATTTTTTTTCTTTTCGAGAATGAAAATTGTAGCAAAGAAATCAGAAAAAATCGAAATCGGAGCATTTGGAGACATAATTGAAGTGGCCAATTGGAAAAGGATCCGACAAGGCATGTGTTTAGATGAGTAAACACATAGTGATTAGCACATATTTTAAGCTAACAATTTGATATATTCATTCAAATGGAGCCCTTCCTTTTTCTTGTAATCCATGTGCATTACTTCATTGCTTAATAATTTTTAATTTTTTCAATCATATTATAAAATTTTCCCTTATTACTAAATTAATATCACTAAGATTCGTTAAGAGATGAGAACCGATCAGGGTTCTGGAAATTTTGAGATCGAAATTGAATCGTAATAAAAAAAAATGATTTTGAGAAGTTGTTTTAGTCCCTCCTGTATTGTTAGGTTTCTGTCTAATATGTTCGATAACTTGAAAAAGTTTCGTTAGTTTTTCGAAAAAATCATAATATGTTGAAAATTTATTAGACATAAAATTAAAAGTGTACGAGTGCTCAACCCGAAAGAAATTAAAAATATATATATATATTTTTTAAATCTATATATAAAAAAAAACTAATTGAATTGGGCCTAATGCAGGAGTTTGACAAAGTACATGGGCCGGCCTGGCATTGCATTGTGGGCTCAAGTTTCGGGTCATTTGTGACCCATTCAACAGGTTGCTTCCTATATTTTTCAATGGAGGAATTATATATTTTATTATTTAGAACTAAGATTCAGAAAGCTACTGAATGAATGAGTTCATTTAATGAACCTAATGTAAAGGCAATTTTTATTAATATTGTACAAAACCAATTTATTCTTATTATTTCTTCCCTTTACTGTAATTCAAATGAGAGTCTTTCTCAAATTCTCAACTGTCCTAATACTTTATATAGTTCCATTTCTTCCCACATTTTTCAATCCTAAAGTTATGAAGGAACGAGAGGTATGCAAGCATTCAACCAAATGATGCTATGGAGACATCTTGTTGGATGATGAAAGTCCAACATCGGCTAATTTAGGGAATGATCATGGGTTTATAAGTGGGGAATACTAACAACATTGGTATCAGGCCTTTTGGGAAGCCCAAAGCAAAGCCATGAGAGCTTCGGCTCAAAATGAACAAATCATACCATTGTGGAGAGTCGTGTTCGTCTAACATGGTATTAGAGTCATGCCTTAAACTTAGTCGTGTCAATAGATTGGTAAATCCTCAAATATCAAACAAAGAACTCCAAAAAGAAAAAGGAGACAAGCCTCCTCGAAGGCAGTAAAAAATGACTAAGACTCCAAAGGAGTCGAGCCTTGATTAAGGGGAGGCGCACTTTGTTCGAGGTGAGGTGTTGGATGATGAAAGTCCCACATCGACTAATTTAGGGAATGATCATGTTTATAGATGAGGAATTCTAACTCCATTGGTATGAGGCTTTTTGGGAAGCCCAAAGCAAAGCCATGAGAGCTTCTACTCAAAGTGGACAATATCATACCATTGTGGAGAGTCGTGTTCCTCTAACAACATCGTCGTCTCTCTATTTATATGTGAGAATCTCACATTGGTTAGGGAAGAGAACGAAACACCTTTTGTAAGGGTGTGTAAACCTTTCCCCGTTTTAAAGCTTTGAAGGAAGCTCGAAACGGAAAGCCCAAAAAGAACAATACTAAGAGTATTATGAAAAGTCATTCTAAACTGATACTGAGATTCACTCTCTATTATCTATGTAAGGAAAAGTTTAGATGATCAATTTTTATAGAGAAATCGCTAGTTTCTCTTGCTTTGATATAAGCTAGGCTAAATATTAAACCTGACACGATCAATGGTAACTATTTCAAAATCATTTCTAAATAAAAGCAACTAAAATAGACGACTGATATGCTATTTCACTCGAACATGGTTACGTGGAACAAACACCTAGGTGTTATACACTTGAAGAAAAAGTATAAAGCAACAACAACATTAACTGAACCAAAAGATTAACTTATCTAATGAACACTTTTGTAATTAGTTTGCATTGAAATTTTGGTCGAATGACGCAAATGTACCTATGCTTCAGAAAAAAAATTCCTCGCACAAAGTTTATACGTCAATACCTCAAAATTGTACGCCAATCTTCTTAGAATTTGAAAACCATATCCTTTGAATATCCAAGATCCTTAAGTAAGCCACCAAGCTGCAAGAAAGCAGTAAAACAATTGTATATTAATATGTAATAACAGTCGATGAATCAATTCAAGTTAATGATTGGCCAATTGAAAAGCCCATATATAATAAGATACCTCTCCCTGTGTGAAATCTTTATTCTTCGGCCCACATATATGTTTCATCATGCCTGGTGGACCACATACCTGAACGCATGGAAGAAAGTCATTCATGTATCTATCCAAATGTATGTAATATGCATTCAAAACTATATGGGTGTGGGAGGGACTTTATGAATGCCTTATCTTCCAATGCATGAAAGGAATTTGTAGGTAGCACAATTATCAGAATTAAGAAAAAAGGATGAAAAGTTGGTACATATTCCCCCAAGTTCATGGCAAATAAACAATACTGTTTGTGCTATCGTTATGGAGCTACTCGACATAGTTGGATTGTCCAAGAAATAACCTACTGCTAGTAGATATTGTCCGCTTTGGCCGGTTACTTATCGTCGTCAGCATCACGATTTTGAAACACGTCTACTAGGGAGAGGTTTTCACACCTTTGTAAGAAATGCTTCGTTCCCCTCTCCAACGGATGTGGGATCTCACAATCCACCCCCTTGGGGTCAACATCCTCACTAGCACATCGTCGCTTGACTCTGATATCATTTATAACAGTCTAAGCCTACATTAGTAGATATTTTCTGCTAGTAGATGAGTTTTAAAATTGTGAGGCTTATGGTGATACATAACGAACCAAAGCGGATAATTTACTAGCAGTGAGCTTAGACTATTACAACACCTATATACCTAGCTCTGCAGGCAATGCTCCATATAATTTACATACAGGTCTAGATGATACATGATACGAAGGATTACCCCTAAAAGGGAAGCATATTTAAATGACCCAACTGGTATTCAACGGCATGCTTCGACACATTATTGTGATAACGAGAATCCTAGATTAGAAGAGGCAACACAAGTTTGTAAAACTATTTTTTATTTTCCTTCCCACTCGAGGAAAATGACTTGTAAGCTGGTTCTTATTGATCATATCGCATTGAGATAGACATGAACGGCAAAGATTATCAGGTACTGAAGTATTACGGCAACAACAACAAACACTTACGAGGATTAGTGCGTCATTTCCAGGGGAAGGTAAGCATTTGATGATCATATCCTTTGATACATGTCCCTTCCCTCCCTTCCAACCCTTTGGTGGATTACTAACAGTGTAGAATACCTACATTTTTGTTACCATAGAGCCCATCACTTTTACAAAGACGTCGGAAAAAAAAATAATTGACACAAGCATACAAAAAGGGAAAAGGATTAAATCGTTCTCATAGTAAATGTAAAGATTCTGGACATATTGGCGGGTTTCATTTCAAAATATGAACTTCTATTCTGATATGTTAAACAAAGATCTAATCTTATAGCATGCACTATGATGCAGCATCCTATGATAACGATTTATTAATAATAAATATGATCTTTTTTGGCATCCTTTCGATGCCTAACACATGCTTCAGCACACGGAAACAAATTTTGATCCTTTTGGCCAAGTTTTCTATTTATCTTCAACAACATCATCATCATCATTATTATTTTGGTTTCTAATTATTCTCATGCTCTATTTCACTTATTGCACGATATTCAAGCTAGGTTCCAAATATGTCATCTTACGACCATTTGATAGGACATCGTTGTTCTAAATAGTACAGCAACTCTTCAATACTGAAACAGCTGATACCTTTATATTTGGGTGGCAAGCTGCAAGTTTGTCAAGTTTCTCTTTAAGCAATATGTCATCGGCAGACACATTCGCAAAAATCAGCGAGACCTGTAATCATTAAGGGGCATGCTCAAGCAATGATGAAAAAGTTATAGTTGAACTAATTGTGTGCTTGTACTGCACAAATGAAGGTAGGTTGAAAAACCAACTAGTGTCCATTATCTATATTTCCCGAGTTCTTACATTACAGTGTTCGAAGAAAATGCTGCTTCAATGCCCAAAATGCTGGGAATTTTTCTTGGCTAAGGAGAAAATAAAGTTCCAAAATTCTATGGATGATTGCAGTCAAAGGTGTGGCATGGTGGAATTGTAATAGAAAAAAAATCAGTGGGATGAAATGGTTGAATAAGGTAAGTTTCAGAGTACTTCATGTTTTTCTCTATGAAATGCTTTTCACAGTTATTCTTCTTTTGTTATTTTTACCAATTGGGTAAATTACCCCAAGCTTCAAACAGGGGATTGACAGAGAGTATTGATTCTCCGTTGGACCTTTTCACTAAATCAATGAAATTTTTTGTTATTTGTTCAAAGAAAGATAAATAAGTGATTGAAGAAAGACATATTCTTGGTTGTTATGTAATGAACTGCACAAAATCTCATGAAAGGGAAAATACAGGAACCTTGGTTTTCGACTTTACTGGTTACTTTTGGCTTAGTCCGGAAACTTTGCAAGAAAAGATCATTGCGCACCTGTGTAATGTCATCTTGGTTTTTTGCTATAGCATCAATGACCTGAAGCATGGGAGTAATTCCTGTGCCACCAGCGATCTGCTTGCCAATAAAAATATAAAAAAGTTAAATGTAATCTTGAACTTTTTTCTATTTAAAATAAAAGTTGCTAATGGTCATAGCATTGACAACCAAATGATGATATGGGAAGGAGATCAGTTATAAGTGTACTTATGTTTTCACAAGCAATCTGAGATGATTCATTTTACCATGCCAATGTGTTTCTTCATGTTTGGAGAGTATTTGAGCTTTCGAATGGGTCTGCAAAGCAATTTAAGGAAAAGAGAGTCACATAGGACATACAATACACGACCTGGAGGTAACGACAAAGACAAAATAAATAAATAAAAAATACCCTTTCACTTCAAGTTTATCACCAGGTTTCAATTTAGCAAAATGCTGAGTCATTTTTCCTTGAGGATATATCTGCAAAATTCACGAAAGAAACCACGAACTCGTTAAAACACATTCACACTTGTAAAGAAATTTTGTCTCCAAAAGGATAAGTAGATATCCAACTGAGGAAATATTGGCGGTAGCATAAAGAACACTATACCTTAATTAGTAGATCAAAGTATCCCTTGGCCTCGGGATCTGATATCGGTGTATAACTGGACAAAAATGATTAATTAAAAAGAAAAATAAATATACAGTGGATCACATTATATACATCAATAAAGGTGAACAAGAAGATGATATAAATAGATTGGAATATCAAAAAGATTTGAACTGGGAATATTGTTTATCCATACAACATGGAATAGGCTGGAAATCTCAACTTCCCAAGGAGGTGAGTATTTTCACTCCATAATCAATCGCCTGAATTCTAAAGCCTCTATAACTATGCCAAACCCTCGAAAACGCCAATTTACTAACACCAAATTTGCAATAATCACATATAGATAAATACTTGAACAAGAAGACTTACGAGCGTGCAACGTATTTTACTTCCCCTTGTTCGTCTTTATCAATTGGAGCTCTGTGGTTACAACAATGCACCGGAATGAATAACCAAGAAGCATATTCCTTTTAACTTACCAATAATAACCATCTTTCAGGAAAGAGAAACATACCTTGTAACGATGCATGAAGCAACATCCACCCCCAATTTTTCAGATGGATCAAATGAAAATCTGCCACAGTGTATATTAGAAAATATTGTGCCCTAAAATCCAACCCCAACACAATTTCATACCCTAAAATCTAAAATTACAGGAAATAATGATGAATCTAACTCCTCTTCAAGAAAACTACAAATTGAAATAACAAAAAGTAGTCAATTCAAACATGCCCAAATGGATAATGCATTAAGTACCGATTCAATCCAATACTACACAATTATTGAACTAAAACAAGTAATATAAAACAAATAGATGGTTTCATTATCTTACTGAAGAACCATAAAAACGGGCATCCTAAATTTTGTACCTGTATAAATTAGTGTTATGAGAAACACGTGCAACGTCTTGCAACT